CACGAACTTAACATTTGAGACATTGCAATTATGAGATGGAGGATGGCTCTTTTTAGTGTTTCTATGCAGCAAAAAAAATAAATAAATAATGATTGAAAATTTGCACATCCTGGAAATAATCATCATCATTGTTGTATTGGAGAACTGTAATTATACGTCAAAATGAGTTACAATGATATTTGAAAAGAACTAAAAGATATAAGTAACGTCAAAAAACACTGTATGATTAAACAGCAATATCATTTTTGCCCTCAGTTACATACACACTAACTAACGACTTACAAAATATATTGCAAAAGTTTTGCATAACTGTAGATAATATGATTAATATCACGTGATTATATAAAATCATCTGAATAGATGAATAAAATAAAAATAATGATATAAATGCAAAAAGCGCAGTTGCTTTACAAAAAAGGAACAAAATCAAGATTGCAAACATACACTTGAGAAGCAAAGAAAGTGTGTATAATGTATAAAAGTTTTTTTTCGCCCTTAAAATGCTTAAACTTAATGTACTTAGCGTGTTTGAGTACTCAATATGTTAATTTTCACGTTCAATATGGCTTAGTTGTCACAGCACGCTTTTCTTGAGTGTAACATTACTCCGTTTATCTTATTAATACATTAAGATTACGACTGGCCTGTCGACCGGGGATGTTTACTTTTCCTTGGCACCTTATCCCACATTTGGTGTTTCCTGGGGTCTGTGAGTTTGTCTTGTTCACTATTCGTTTTGTTTACTACTTTATGAAATTGGCCACTGTTCTTCATCTTTTACATTTTAGAAAAATTGAAAGGATAGGATATATTATTAAGAGGTTGTCCACCGATAAACCAGGCAGTAGGTGGCACATCGTATGTCATGGATTTTTATTGTTTTTTACATGTAGACTTATTAAAGCAAGTGTTAATACATGGCAACATCAAAATTTTTTTTAGTGGTCCTCTAGTCCTATTTTTGGTAAATGTCTAATTTTAAGTGCAAAAAGGTCAACTTGAGGGTAAAAAAAATACTACGTTTTTATTTTGTTTTATATGCAACAAAAACTTAAAAGCTGGGTGTGTCAATCAATATTATTTATAGCATAGACTCTTATCTTTTATTTCATAATGAATAAGACTCCAAATTATATTTCTTTAGAAAAAAAATATGTGGTCCAAACCTGAGTTTAGCAAGTGACTTTTTGAATTCAGTATCCGATTTTTGACACGTTATAAAATCCAATACATTACTATGACAGATTTTTTTCCTCATGTTATAAGGAATACTAGGTACAAACTTTTGAGTCACTTCATAAAATTGGTGGGAACAGGTATATTGAGGGAAATATAAGGATTCAAATTCACCTATTATCTATGATTTTTCTTAAACCTATCCCGATCGGAATTATATAAAGAAGAAAATACTAAATTGTATTGTTAAATTTGGCTCTTTTGTTGTTACATAGTTCAAAATTTACTTTATTTATTTTTATACATGTCTTATAGATGGCAGTTCCTTTAGTTTGATAACTTTATAAATTTTGAATTATTTTCGGATTTATCCAAGTTTTTTGAACCTGTCATCTGTTAATCCTTTTCACCTAAATATTCCTCTTTTACAAAATTTTATTTTATGTAAATCAAAGAAGTTCTTTCTTATACATCATTATTTAAAAGCATATATATCGCAAGCAAAAAACGGGGGGGGGGGGGTTTCAAAAACACTTAACAGGTTTCATGAACATATAAACATTATAGAATTGGCCAACATAGTCACATATTTTAATTCCATATTAAATGTGAGAATGTAACTATTTCGGTTTTATTTCAATCAGGTGTGGTTTTTAGGAATATTTCCTAAAGTTGGTTCTTCATTTTAATTCACCAGAGAAATAATATGCCTATCTTTGTTTCTTTTCAGTGAGTAAAATGTTTTAAATGATTTTGTCCATGTATTCAAATGTATATAAAATTATATATAAATTCATATATATATATATTATATATATATATTACAGTATATGATATATATATATACATATATATATATATATATATATATATACATATATTCTTGATACTCGGTATTTAAAAAAGTGTTTGTACATGCATTATGTAGCAACTCAGAGAAGACAGCTTAGCTTCATTAAATATCTTATTTGCAAGTTTTTTTCCTTTATTCAATATAAACTCAGTAAATATATATATATATGTATATATATATATATATATATATATATATATATATATATATATATATATATATATATATATATATATATATATATATATATATATATATATATATATATATATATATATATATATATATATATATATATATAAAACAACATTATTTAACATTTTGGATATTGCACTGTGTAGAGTAATTGAACAGAAACGGAGAAAGTACTTATTTTAAATTATTTTTCTTTGCACTTTTACGCAAAGAATTTACAAACTTTTCTAGAAGTCTTGTACTATGTGACGCAGTATTAGTCAGGCATATGACGTCACTGATACATCAATGGAAGCGTGGATTCAACCTGAATAATACAGCCCATTTTAAACCAAATATTACGTTTGCAGGTGTTAATGAGTTCTATTTTGAAAATAAAGTATTTATTTTTTGTTTGATAATTATCTTTAGTGTATAGATTCTATTTTTTTTACAAGGATTCCGATAGTAAGGTGTTTAGCAGATTTACCGATGCCACGGGAGATAACTCTTGCACTGCAAAATTTCATAAACACGTCTATGTATTTTGCCAGATAACTAATTCAAAAGTGTTTTTCCCACCGATTTTATTTTTGAAACAGAAAGATGAAGTATTTTTAGATTTAGTTCAGTGTGAATTATAGTCCTGTTAAAAATGTATTGGAAGTTACAGTTCTTTGTTTCTGACCTAAATTCAATGGTTTACATAGGGGAACTCAATTACACGAAAGAAAGGGATATTTTACTACATAAGTGATTTTTAAACAAATCTTCGATTACATTATTCCATTCGGACTACATTGATATTGTTTTCAATAAAATATCAAATATTCGTCACATTCGATGTGCCGCCTATCAATACAATACTGCCTGGTTTTTTCCGTGGACTGCCTCTTAAAAGATATTTTGAAAAATGTTAATTCAAAAATCCGACTTTTTACTATTCTTTTCAAATGAAATTTTAGTCGCCCGCGTGGCGCAGTGGTTAGAGCTCTAGAGTCGCGAAGTAAGGATGTGATCCTTACGTCGCGGGTTCGAATCCCAATGTGGGACGTGGAGACCGGTCCTTCGGATGAGATCGTTTAAACTAAGGTCCCGTGTCGGAGTAGGTGTTGGCACTAAAAATATCCCTCCCTGCTCAATGGCCCTGAGTATAGGACAAAATTTGCAGCTCTCCACCGGCAAGTGGGGGCGTCTTAATATGAGTGAAAAATTCTCGAGAGGGACGTAAAACAAAATACAATTAATTAATCAATCAATCAAATGATATTTGAATTTCTTATTAGAAAACCATGATTTGATTTAGAGAGCTAGTTTAGATTTTGTGGTAAAATAAATTTATTTAAGATCACAAAAGCATTAAATTTCTCCAGTGCATACCTATTTGATCAATTGCATGTATGACAGGAATATATTTCAAAATATACAAAAGTTAGATTTTTTTAATAACTGGTCCATTCTCCTTTTTCACATTTTGGTTTTAAATGTAATGTCTGTACTTAAAATTACAAACATAAGTACCAGCTCTTTTTTGTTTTCTGCACAAAAAATAAAAGAGAAAATGTAATCAATACAGATCTTGAGAATATTCATCATCTAAATTATTATCTTTTTTAATGCGACGAAAAATATTCTAGAATGAACTACTGTAGAAATTAAAATCGACATTTTTAGGTTACGTAACAATGTATTCGACACAACACAAACGATACCATCACGTGAGTCCTCATCAATCATAAATGAACAGACCTTAGCAATATGTCAATATACATTTATTGCATTATAGTGGGGGAAATATAAAGACTTATTCAGCCAGGAAAAATAATGTTTCCCGAGGGCTTTGCGAGTCTTCATGTTTCCAGAACGTTGATGCAATGAATTGTTTATTATACCGAAACAAGCAAAACCTTTGAAATAAACATAAACTTTCAAATTCGGCACCGCTCTCAAATTCACTTTCATTTTTATTGTAAAATTTCCTGAAACATTTTGACACATTTCTAATCAGCAGTTTCGTGACGTAAACCAGTTTATTGTGACTTTGACTACTCTCGGGAGTTTTCTTTTAACGAACGTTTACTATATTGCGGGAAAATAGAATAGGTATCCGAAGAGGTGGAATATGATGAAAAGCATGCCGATGGCCGGGATATATGAATTTTTACGGCCCGATCACGTGATAACCTAGAACTAATCAGAAAACGCGTTGTGTAGAATATTTATAATGAGGTATAATAATATGATATATGCGTGTACACAACTCGCATAATAGATTATTCTCAGACTGGTAAAATCCACCGACAATGAGATATGACCGCTAAATTCTTGCAGAAAACTGCTAAAATGAACTTTATAGCAGGTACAAAGGTGATCGGTTTTTACCTCATTGGACAAGCCTTAACTCTTTTACAGACATGCTATTCTCACTGCTTCGATCCCAAAACTTTAATCGTTAACAATTATGAAAATTCCTCAGTACCTGGCTTTGACATTTTAACCAATGCAGAAATGGGAATGTGTATGATGGTTTGTAACAAATTTGAGTTGTGTCGCTCAGTGGATTGGATACGCGAAAAAAAGACTTGTCAGCTAAACACGAGATTTGCTATCAAAAAAGTCAGTAGTCTTATGGCCGGAGGCCGCATCATTCATGTTGACCGGGACAGTTTTCCGAAGGTAAGCAACGTATCAGATACTTTTTAAAAAGCAAAATACTGAAGTACTGTATTTAGATTAAAAGCAATTCGATCATATATTAAATGAGTTACCTCTCTTAACTGAATGAATTTCAGCACCTGGCGGCCGATTGTCCCAAACATATCTGTACCGAGGATGCAATCTGTCTTCAGGGTAAATGTGTGCCTGTTTTAAAAGGTAATATATAAGATGATTAACATATTTTTATCAGTGATGATTATAGGAGCTCGATAATTGGAGTAAATGGCGCCGCGTCAAACCTAAGATTTTTAACATAGTGCTATTCCTCCTCAAGTTCCTGGCATTTGCATCCTGGTCTTTAGCAACGTGCAATGGTCGAAATTCGGGGTACTTTATCTAAAGCAGTTTCCATCTGTGTATGAGTAACAGATATTGTTTTATTTTTATTTTAAATAATGATTCTGAAGAATTTATTAAATCAAACGGAATTATTGAAATATATTTAATTACATTCTTTTTATGTTATTAACTATATCTATAAAATTCAGTTGAACATATAGTTTTAATTGTTCATAATTAACAAATCTATTAATATTTTTTGAAAGTATTGAATCAAAGAATTAAGTACGTTACATATTATACGGTGGCCCACTCTTTTCTGTAATTTAATATACAGGTTTGCCAAAATAAAAAAAAAACTATGTGCATGTACTAGATGATAAGTATTTTTAAAATATGCGAAAAAAAAATTTCCACACTCTTTTATTTAGACGTTTACACCAAGTTTAAAGATCCGTTTTTTCCGGAAATTGTTAGTTTTTCCACTATTTTTAGCAGAAATTTATAAAATTGAAGTAGTGAACATCCCTTGGGCTTAATAAAACACGTATATTTCAAAACATTTTTGATAAAAGACAGATGAAAACAGGGATAAAGTTATGTTCGAGGAATGTGCAGTATGTTTATTTTCAGCTTGGCCAAGATCAGGTGCCCATTTCAACATGAATGGTGTTATATAGATGTAACTCTTTAAAGATACAAATAATCATAATGTCTTAAATTGCATTGCGAAGAGCAGAGAGACATTTCCATTGGTATACTAAATCATATATATAGTACCTGCATCTTTGATACAACAACAGAATGAAGTCTCAAATTCATAATTTTGAAGGGTTATGCTGTTGCACTTGATTTTTTACATTTTAGAAAATGATAATTAAAATTATTTTGAATGAAACATTCCAAAATAGATATACTTCATTACAGAAAAACCATTCTAGTTTAGTTTATTTTTTACAGAAAAGAAAAAGGTTAAAAATTGTTGAAATTATGAATAAATATGTGCAGATTTACCTTTGTTATATAAATTAAGATTTATCAATGTCTGAATAAATTCATAATTGTTAGCAGAAAAAGATAAAATGTAATACGTTTAATTTTTTTTTTTATTTTACTTAAGAAAAAAAAGACTATAAGAAAAATATAGTGGTTGTATGCACTCGGCACACCTCGGCCGATTACATGAAACCAAAATTTGATGCAGGGTACCGTAGTCAGCCGAGGTGAGCCGAATGGGTGGTATGGTAAATTGTTTACACAATTTGTAATTTCTTTTCCATACTTATATAATATTTTGTATAGTCCGTAGCCCCAAATTTCATGAAAGGTTATGTTCAACAGAAGAATGTATAATTAATAATGTTCTTGTTTAATATTTTAACTGTTACCAGTAAAGAATAAAAACAGTTATAAAAATCTTTTACGACAACACCAAAAGAAGTTATAGAAGAATGGTGTACGTAGCCCTGTATAGTCCGTAATCCCTATATTACAATTATGAGAAAAAATCAGATACATTATTGATACAATAACTAAAATTTAATAATATGTTTATTCGAACAAATACAATGTTCTTAAATACATAATCAACTGTAATTAAAAATAGAGTGTCTGCATATTTACATTTTTCAACTAAAGGCTTGTTTCTTTAGTCTATCCTGTTCTGTTTGTGGTCACAACATTTTTCTAAATATATGATAAAGTTTTCCTTCCTATGCTACATAATATCAATCCATTTAGAATAATTTTCAAAACCTACTTACAGAAGAAGTACAGACTCTACAAATAAATTTAGCAAATTTACAGTCCATATTATCATACTTCTTTATCAGCAAGAGATTTTTTCCTGGCTGCATCACTGCAAAATGTGTTTCAATGGTTTATTAGTTTTCACTAACCAGTCATCACATTCCATTACGGATTTGTTCCCAAAATATACGGATCAACTCCTTACTTTGCGATTTAGAACAAAGTGAGACCTTCACTCTAAGTTATTGCACAACCCAATCTACTTGTCACTTAATTGTTAATTAAGAATAAAAAAAAAAGCATTGACTCTTTATGGATAAATATTGTAATATTCTGGTTTTTTCTTCAAATTATCAATCTTGTTCTGTAATTTATTTAACGAAATACACTCTATGATCATGATAATAAATTCTGTACTGATTCACCTTTTAAATGACCATCTTGAGTTATATGTATAACAATAAAATTAAATAAAAATTGAAATTAAATCGAAAAAAAAGTATGAAGCAATATAGTCCGTAACCATCTCCCTAAAAAAAACAAGCCTTGACTTAATTACTCCTCATGTTGCTTTTTTCATCATAGGTTGAACACCAATAATGCATTAATCATTAGTTGAACTGGAATTCAATTTGGCCTTAATCATGGAAGTACACAGTACATTAGACAATTTATCTTAAAGGTCATCCGATCTTTAGCAAGGAAGGATAACTCCAAAAATCAACATTTAATTTGAAATGCATCAAAATGAAGCTTGAAAATGAAATATTTCATGCAACAATTTTCATTTTATTCATCTTTATAAGAATCACGGTCTTTGAAAGTCTTAGGAAAGGTCTTATAAAAGTTGACATTTGTACCATATAAAAGGAGAAAAAAATTAATACAATTTTAGGGAACTAAGATTTTCTTGAATCCAGGATAGATACCAATGCTTATTAGGATGATATGAAATTAAAGTGATTTGTAGTGTCTTGCAATGATAGCAAAATCCTTTTACACTATGTATTATAGAATACATGACGGAAATAGAAACAAAAAATACCGAATAAGTATAAAAATTATGACAATTTCTCTAAATGCCTGGATATCTAACGTTTTTTAACCTAAAATATATTTGTTGATCAATTTGCAATTAGAAAATGCATTGCTGATATTCCAATTCGCTTTTTCTGCAAAAATATTGGAGATTTGACAATTTTCCCTATATAATAGAGTTAACTTTAATCTTTAACTTTAAAGAAATACAGTGGATAATTTAACATAATTTTGTGGGTTCAAAGGTACTTTTATGGGTATTTTTGATTACTTAACTGCTAATTTTATAAACCTGAGGATCGGACTACCTAAGGCATGAAATTATAAATACTCAATCAAAATGCACTGAACTGTCGTAGAAAACCAAAATAATACAAATGTAATAAAGAATTGTCAAAGAATTAATTATGCTATTATATTTTCTTTTAGATGATTGTCCTTATTAGTGCTGTTGAACGGTGTAGTCCGTAGCCCCAGTGCTCTCATGAAATTCATCCATCTTAGATGCTGAATTAAAGTTATTTCTTGGTCTCTAGTTGGTTTTAGTCAATATTTTGTTATCAAAACACCAATTATATGTAGTTCTGACATGTATCATTTTGTTCTGACAATTTATATTTAACTCGTACTTGGACTTATATCAAGTTTTAATTTATTTTGTTAAATTTCACAAGATTTAATATCCAGCTGATAGGATCTTTTATTACATTTTTACCTGTGAAATACTGTAATTTATTCATTGAATAAAAATGATATCTTGTCACACTGTGAAAGGATATCAAAATGATATCCTGTCACAGTGTGATGAATATCAGAAGTGCGGGAAAACTCTCGATTTCCCTCTCCATAACGAAGATTGCTGTAAACAAAATCTTCCTTGACTTAATATAAGATAGATAAAAATAAATAAACCACTCTGACAGCGAATAAAATGGTTAAAATTACCAAAAATGTGTTGCTAAATCTATGTTTACAGTGTTTTCACCTCATATAGCTATAACGTCTCAACCGCTCAACTATGACGTCACGAGCCTATGACTGCATAACAAAAAAACAGAGGCAAAGGAAAAATCAAGGAATTTTATTTTAAAAATGTAATAAACAGAAAATTCAATGTTTTGTTGTTGAATATGGAATTTATTTCACTCGTGAAAATATCAAAAATCCTGTCCCACTCGTGAAATAAATTCCATATTCAACTACAAAACATTGAATATCCTCTATTTAAACACTTGTTAACTCCATGATGATAATTTTAACAAATATATACTGATACAAGCAATTATTTTTTTTTCGATGGTCACTCCTTAAATGAAAAAAATACTCTATGTATAGTCCGTAGCCCAGGGTCTCAAAATAGTCAATGAAAGTTCAGTTTAAACCGCTTGACAGATAATGACAGAAATTTTAGACAATCTGCCAAAAGGATGTAGTGTTACATAGAGCATACTTGAAAAGAATCATTTTGTAAAAATCATATCATTCGAAAAACGTTTTATTAATTTACATGCATTGATAAAATCTCATCGAGAACAAGGAGAAGATGAGTATGTAGAAGATCTCTCAGACTAACTCCTTTTTACAAATTGAAAAAAGATAGCAAACTGATAGTGCCACCCCCCCCCCCCCCGTGATATATGTATTTGCATAACATGGTGTGACGTTGAAAATTTTCAATAAGTTTTAGTTTACATTAAGTGCATGCAAACTGAGTAAAATTAAGTACAGTAAAACATTTATTAGAGAAGGAATTTTAAAAGTATGGAAAAATCAAAATCGCTTACTTTCACATCCTGAAGATTTTCAAGAATATTGAACAAGCCATACACATTATTTTTCAAAGTGCGTTACTATGGTCGATATCAACGCACTTTGAAAAGAAAGTCTACTTTCTCAAAAAGCGTTGACTTGGTCCACAAATTTAACTCACTTTGAATTTTTTTTTAAGTGCGTAGTTTTCAAAGTAATGCTACGTTTATATAAATCAAGGACTTCACAATACGTAGATGCGCCGTGAGATTTTGGTTATTTTCCCCTCTATATCCAAGTCTTGACAAGTTCTTTTGCGGTCTTCTACGGTCTTCTACGGAATCCGTGATTGCACCCATATAAAGTTAAAAATCGGAAGAAATAAGTATATGTGTAAAATAGAACGGATAGTGTTTTTTAAAACCACTTTGTAATTGAAAATTGCTCATGTCAAATTTATTGTTATCATTTACAATGTTTTAAAAAAGCGAACAAATAGAAGAAAATACACCATAAAACTTTAGACAGATTAGGAAACACGTTTGTCATGCGTCAATGATTAAACGTTTACAAACTACTCGTAGTGTGCGCCTTATTGGGGAAAGGTTACTTTTTACAGCTTAAAAAAATAATAAATCTGTGCAATCAAGTTAATAGGCAGTGCGCTTTATAAAGTGGCTTGTATTGAGATCGAGAGAGAGAGAGAGAGAGAGAGAGAATGAATGATTTAAATTTATTATAATATCACTTCAAAGAAATAAACGAGCATTCATGGTAGACAGTATCTTCTTTGATGATGTATTAAATGACGATCTTAACTAAATTATCTTGGGCTGCTTCTATTTTTTATATATAACATACATAGAGCAACCAATTTCAGTTGGGGGGGGGGCACAACTAAACTTTTTTAATTTAGAGTCACTACCAAGCAATTCCTTGGGAAGCCAAAATGAACGATTTTTGCTGTCGCGTTTTGTTGCGTTCACATGTATACAGTAGCTAAGTTTTTTATAATATAACATTGTTTATTTATCGACTTCATGTGGAGGGGTGCTTATCCCCAACCCCTCAACCCCGTTCCTATATACGAACGTGTGTACATGATGTATATCTGTTTATATATGCGGATTATAAAAAAGGCTGAAAATATGCATTGATGTACGGTGGTGCATTTTTTCTTAGTCAAGTTCTTTTCTTTGCTTTAAAGTTATGCTCCACTATGTCATTGTTAAAGTTAAAAATGCATTTAAATCAAAATATAAAATTAGAAGGATACACTTTATAACTTTGTAATTGAAAACACACAAATTTATTTTATTTTACAATGTTTTAAGGTTCAACATAATGAAGAAAATACACCATAAAACTTGGTGACGCCAAAACACGTTTGTCATGCGTCAAACCCCGATTAAACGTTTACAAACTCCGATGGCTCGTTATTGGGGAAAAGTCCGATTTTTACGCCAAAAAAATAATAAATCTGTGCAATCAAGTTAATAGGCGCGCGACGCTAAAGTGCGATTGTATTGACAAGCCGAGAGAGAGAGAGAGAGAGAGAGAACAATTTAAATTTATGACGTAATATCACTTCAAAGAAATAAACTGCATTCAAAATCCTTTGATGAGTATTAAATGACTCACATACGTTTTTACTGCTATTGCTTTTTTTATATATAACATATTAGGGTTAGCCCAATTTCATTGATAAGGGTTAGTCCTTGAACACTAAACTTTTTTAATTTAGAGTCACTACCAAGCAATTCCTTGGGAAGCCAAAATGAACGATTTTTTTTTATTGAGCGGTCACATGTATACAGTAGCTAAGTTTTTTTATAATATAACATTGTTTATTTATCGACTTCATGTGAAGGGGTGTCTTATTTCCAACCCCTACATCCAATATAGAACGTGTGTACTGATGTATATCTGTTATATATGTATTAATTTAAGGCTTATGCTTGATGTACGGTGGTGCATTTTTTCTTAGTCAAGTTCTTTTCTTTGCTTTAAAGTTATGCTCCACTATGTCATTGTTTGTTAACCATGCATTTATCATCAAAATATAAAATTAGAAGATACACTTTATACTTTTGACCACACACAGAGTTATTTTTTACCGAAGGTTCAATATACATATTAAAACAATAACCGAAAAGATAACTTGCTTCATTTGTAAGGCAAAATATATATTCACCATCCCGTTGTACATGTAAAAGAAAAAAAAGATTGATTCCAGATTACCGACAAAAAGATACCGGACTTATAAAAGTGTGAATAATATGCTAACGTAGTTGTCACGTAGTTGTCATGGCATCATTCAAAAGTTTGTGCACACATATGCTTATCACAAGTGCTTGTAAACCAGACAACCTCGCCGTACCCACCTCCAATATACATATATACCGGGTTCCAAGATACTGGTATTCATATTTGTCTTTTTCATAAATTAAACGTCTAGTAGATATTTACAATTATTTCATATGAACAATAAAAAAGTACATAGAATTCACTTTTTATATAAAAAAAGGCCCGTAGTATCTTAAATCACCTCTTACTTTTTAACTACAGGTATCAATTTTGTATGTTGTAAATTTTAATGTTATTAATGAAAGAAAGCCAAAAAAATATCTTTGGACCCGGATTTATATATATCCCAGTAGTTGGGGGAAGGGGGAGGGGCATAGGTCTTATGATGGCATGCAAATATGGAACTTGCATTCATACATCTTAAATTATTCCAAAAACACAACTCACTCAACTTCCATTTTTGCGTCGACCCCACCCCCCCCCACCCCCTGAAAGGTGGGGATATTAATTTCGGTCTGCCCGTTCATCTTATAATTCTGTCCATCTGTTACACTTTTGTTTCAAGCAATATCTCGAGAAGCATTTAAGTTTTTACAGTGAAATTAAAAAAAAATAGCTTTGGGTCTGGGATGTTAAGGGAGGGGCTGTCCACTAGCACCCGTGAGAATTATATGAAGATTTTTAAGATACATGTTTGTAAGAAGAAGCTTTATCAACCGAGAAATTTCGAACGTGCATCCCCCTGGATTTATAATATGGCTATAAATGGCTGTTTTTTAAAGCCATATTAATTTTATTTTTCGCAGAATATAGTATTATGAATAAGAATTTATTTCAAGTTTTGGGGTTTTTGCAATTTAGTTTTAGACCATAATTCATTATTATCCCGACCGCCCTTCGTAAAGTACCCCCACCCCCGTTCGACCCCTACTAGATCCGCAAATACTATCATTTTTATTTCATGCCACAGAATGACATTTTTAAAATTTTCATTTCATTTCCCTTCTCGAACCCCTTTGCTCGTTTAAATGTCCATTGAAATGTACTACGACAACGCGTGGCTTTGAAGTATCTTGTGGGAATTTTATCTATTGAAATCCCAATAAAATTGAAGAATTCAATAATGCAACCGTGAATACAATAGAATACAATGACTGATCCCCGTTTTAGGTTACGTTTGTTCGTAAGATGTCTGTGTTTCTCTAATAAAAGGTTTAATCTATATGAATTATATGTTTGAAATCAATGTAATGTGAAATAGAAAGTACGTTTCAATAAATTATACATAGATTTTTTTTTACATGGAATAGAAAAAATGTACAAAGACTGTTCAGATGTGGTAAAAGGAGACCCAAATAAGAAAGGACATGATGGCGCATACGTAGTCTACCCTGACACCCGGAGAGAGGTCTACTGTGACATGACAACAGATGGAGGAGGATGGACGGTGAGTAGTGTGTTTTATTGTCAATGTTATACATCAACAACACCTGGAGAGAGGTCTACTGTGACATGACGACAATTGGTATATATAGTAGATGCATTATAGATATGCATGCTAAACCACAAAGGGGCGCACAGAAATTGCAACTTCATCCTTAAAGAAAATGAAGAATAAACGCCAATTTTAAATGTAGAAAATTTGAATATTATAGCAATAATTGTCCACCATAAGAATAAGGATACGAAGAGCTCGTGATTAAAGGAATTTTACAGAGATTTTTTTAGGCGATGATCGAAAATTTTTATAAAAAGTTATTTCGCTAGAGTAACACCTTTGGTCTTAATAAAATTTTTGCCTAACTATACACAAAAAATGTATATATTTTTCGTATTGTTTGAGCAAAAAGTTCGGCCATCACGGACAACTGTGAGTATCGTTTTTACGAAGCTCCAAAAAAATTACACATGGAAAATGGAATAAAATTTATTAATTGTGCGAGGAATATATTAATTAAAACTCCCAAATGCCTGAGTATATGCACTTTTGATTTATTTGGATTTGAATGAAAAAAAGACCACCATTTCGAAGGTAAAAACTACGCCGATACATTACGTTCTACAGCTAAGGATATATATATATATTAAACTATTTAACCCAAAACTTAACAGAAAATAATTACTTCAGTTTTAACTAAAGTTATTTTCTACTTGTTTTTTGGTTTATTTAAGTGATTGTAACGGTGCGAATTATAATGCTACCTTTTAACGTTATTATGACGTCACAATGGACAATACTTGACGTCGTGCTTGTGAACGTTACTAAGCAATTTTATATTTAACTTTTAACTGTCTGAAGAGCCATTAGGCAGAAAGCACTAACAGTAAAAATGATTTTCGAGATTTGTGATTTCTGACTTTTTTTCATTGGATATATATATACATATATATATTATAACTCTGTGATTTGTTCTATACAAAAATATGACGAATAAACATGCTATGTTTTCCAAACAGCCCCTTCCGTGAAATGGTTTTTGTGCTATCTGCCCATGGTGAAATAGTCATCAAACCGGCATAATGTTTCCCTCGTTTTTCACCTCGGAAAACTTCTGATTTTATACGGATTATGACGTAATAAAAGTAAAGTCAGCATCGGTATAATAAAACACCTATTTGCTGGCTATGAGGACAATAGCAAGTTTATTGTCACCCTCGACAGCAAACCATTTCCCTCGGCTGTGTCTCGGGAAATAGTTTGCTGTCGTGGGGACGATAAACTTGCTATTGTCCTCATAGCCAGTAAAAAGGTGTATAATATTTTTAAAAATAATTGTGAATAAGGAAATAAAAAATATGAAACAAAAGTATTCCATTTATGTGTCGTATGAATATTTACCGCGATCAGAATATTTTTTATATGTTCTGCTCAACAGTAGAGTCCAAAATACATGCACATGTATTCGTAATTTCCGAGTGTCCGTAAATTTGTTTTGCAAGATTTGTTTTCTGTAAGGAGCTTTGTTACCTTTACTTTTTCATTACGAATGGAGACCGACATTAGAGGAAATTCGAACAACAACTCGCAAATTCAAGCAATAATTCTAACGTGTCTTAAAGTTTATAATCATACAATGATAAAACAGGTGATAAATGAATCTTTTGTAATATATGCCGTTTGTGCTAAATATCGTTTATTTTTTATTTAATTCCATAGTGTTGGAAAAAAACGGCAAAAAAGTGTTTCTGTGCACTGTTTTCAGGATAAATTGGACGTTTGTTATAAGACATGAAGTAGCATACTGCCGTGAAGATTGAACACAAGAAATTCGTAAAGTCAATATTTTAATTAACTACTCTCAATTATGGTTTTGATATATTATTACCAAGTTGGTTTAGATTTTTTAACCCGCGTTTACATAAGGTGGGTACATGAAAGAATTTGACATGTGACCAGGCAATTATTTTCGAAACGTGCTATTCAGATTATTAGGTAACCCGAATTTAACTGTATTCACTCAGAGAAAAAAAAACGAAGAAAACACTAATAAGAAGTTAATTTGGTTTTTTTTCTTATTCATACTAAAATGTTTAATTGACAATTTCATAGATGTTCAGACAAATCTACATCGCTCCGTTAAGTCTCTTTGAATTTCTATGATTGATTGATTATTGTTTAACGTCCCTCTTGAGAATTTTTCACTCATATGGAGACGTCACCGTATACCGGTGAAGGGCTTCAAATTAAGACCTATACTCGGCACTTAGGGCCATTGAGCAGTGAGGGTTCTTTATCGTGCCAGCGCCTACCGTGACACGGGACCTACGTTTTTAAGGTCATATCCGAAAGACCCATGACTTTCACTTCTAGTGCCGAGCGCTTGACGAAGGAAGAGTCACTACCTATTTTTACGCCTTAGGTATGACGCGGCGCCGCGAACGAGAATCGAACCCGGGCCTCCCGATCACGAAGCGAACGCTCTACCACTAGGCTACCGTGACCGGTCTGAATTTCTATGAAACATATGGATAAAACGATTACAGTATTCTGGATTAAAAGTCCATGAAACAAAATAGGAGCAGAGCAAACACGGACCTCCAAAACATAAGAGGTGGGATCAGGGGCCATGGAGGAGTGATCATCTTCTGCTGACTGGTCACACCCTCCGTGTGATCCTCTATGCATGTATCATCAAATAGAAGACACTTGCATATATTCTAGATTGAACATTTTCAGATTCTGCTGGTGAATGTAACATAGTGGTCGATTTTTATTTTTATAGAAATCAATATAATAAGTTACTATTCAGAAATTATTTAGGATTGATTACAGGTCATTCAGAAACGACAGGATGGTGACGTGGATTTTTACAGAACATGGATTGAGTATAAACAAGGATTTGGGAATGCTACTAAAAACTATTGGATAGGTAAGGTTGTATATACCTTTATTATGATTGATTGTATACTGTTTAACGTCCCTCTCCAGAGTAATTCACTGATATGGAGACGTCACCATTGCCGGTGAAGGGCTGCAAATTTAGGCCTATGCTCGGCACTTACGGCCTTTGAGCAGAGAGGGATCTTTATCGTGCCACACCTGCTGTGACACGGGGCCTCTGTTTATACGGTCTCATCCGAAGGATCGCCCATTTAGTCGCCTTTTACAACAAGCAAGAGGGTACTGAGGGCTGAAGAAAGCAATGAAAGCGCACACGTTTTAACAAGTGTTGCCCTTTCATCTTATTTCAATATTAATAACCGGACACTGAGATATTTATTTCACTCTTATGGATTACATGTATGTATATATATATATATATATATATATATATATATATATATATATATATATATATATATATATATATATATATATATATATATATATATATATATATATAAAACTTGAAGAGCCAAACATGGCGAAAGCGCTTGCAGTAAATGTTTTATGAACTATTTGGATTTTTACTTTTAAATATACTTAAAAAATGTACCGACTCTTCAATATATTTTTGAACTTATATTTATTTATATATATTTATACGCTGAATTGACGACGGACTGCCGACATTTCCTAATCATGACAATTAAGGAGAATACGGCTGGTATGACCGGTCAGCAGGGAATGCTCCATGGCACCTGATCCCACCTTTGATGCTTTTGAGTCCTCGTTTTCTTCGCTCCTATTTTGTATTGTTTTTTGGACATTTGATCCTGAATACTGTGCGCTTTCTTCACGTTTCATTCAAACATTTTGATTTGATTCCCATTGATGGAGTTGTTTGACCATGGGATATCCGGTATATTGAAGTCTTCAGTCAGCCAAAATTGAGATGTTGGGTGTGCTTATGCTATGGAGCTCTTCGTGTCGCTTCCTCTTCGTTGCTTTTGGGCTGTCTGTGTAATTCTGCTATATTCAGTGGTAGGCGTGTCCCTCTCTTCACCAATATTGCAACTATTTCTGATGTTTCAGAGATGAGGAGTTCATCGCATTGCTTTTGTTTTGATTATTTTACCTCCATAACCATCTTCACGATCCCTCCTAGCTTTGACAACCTGTTGGCAATAATTCACTGTCATGAACATCCAGTCGTAGCAAAGTCTCAGTGCTTGCAACGATATCGAAATTGCAAAATCTACAAGGGACATGAAGCTCGCCTTTTTCGGGTGGGCGAGGGCCAGAGTTAAGCTCAAAATCAGTTTACCCTAACAGTAGTTAAATGCTTATATATAGCAAATGAAATCTTGTTGCGTTTCATGAGTGGTTTAGCGCCATACACGGAGGATTTCAGATGAAGTAATGACACATAAAGGATGTGTCTTATGTAAACAGAGGGCTGGGTAACAGTTCCAACAATGTGGCCTATGTGGCCTTGCTCATTGATTGATGCATAAAAATATGAACGCGCATATTTTCCACATATAAATCATGTTTGCGCATGATCACAACATGGACAAAGGGGTACACGTGGGGAAACTACAATTGACTTACTAATACGTTTTACTGTATAACCGTTGGCTGAGTGCAGTATTATACTATTGAAACACACTCAAGAAGCATTGACCTTGTTGACCAGACCAGCTTCAAACATCAAGTCGCACGAAACATCTTGACTAGCTGTGACGTCACACGACGTCACAAAGCTCATCGGAGCTTACGGAGACAGCCGATCGTCTGATTGAAACTATAGAGCAACTCATATAGTGCAATTTGTGACAAAAGTCATTGAAGAATATTTTCTAGTTTCTTTTAATATTTCTACAAACCGAAAGTCTTTATGTTTTTTATCTATTCGCCATTATCGCATGGTATCCGGGTTGCAAATGGATTCTGGGGAAGGTTTCGCGCAATATCTACCCAGAGTTATCGTTCCACTTAAAGCGAAGCGAACGACAACTCTGGGTAGAAATTGGGTTTCACACAAAAAATGGCATGACGTATGTACAGATTTTATTCCGAATGACTGTTCTCACTCTGTTCACTCTGTTCTCACACGTTAGTCTTTCGAGCTAGCTCGCTTCGCTGCTCTCGTTAATAAGAGTAACTGCACTTTGCTCATTAGAAACTTATGCACAAGCAATTACAGATTAAATAACCTCGTTTATCCTTTTGAGATAAACTCTTTAGTCTGTAATATATATATATTTATTTATAATCAATAAATATAGGGAATGACGCAATCCACGCCTTAACAAGAGATAAAAACCAGGAACTCCGAATTGATCTTCAGAGGCATAACGGACAAAAGGCCTATGCATTATATTCCACGTTTTATATCGGAGATGAAGACAATAAATATAGACTGACAGTGTCTGGATACAACGGAACAGCGGGTGAGTAGTAGAATCCGCCTATCTATCGTAGAAACAAGGCATCTTAAAGATTTTGACTGTATATATTGTACAGATAATTGACTAGCTGCAAAAATGCAGCCCTCTCCGATTTTTTTTATCTGATGTTTTCTGGAGAGAGCTACAATTCCACAGCATCTCCGTAATGGTGCACAAATAAATTTTAAATACGGGCGACTGCAGGCAGAATAAATTGTTTTTACAATCAACTTACTTCTAATAAGACGAAATTTTTATTCACTGTCGAACTCATAGCCCGTTGAACGTGAAAACCATGTAAAATAAATCTGAGTGCTTTATTCAGCAGCCATGTGACAGTTCACATAAGACGTGTCGAGACTTGCGCTTGAAATTTAGAATAATTCAATAAAGCAAATGTCGATGTTTATAAATAATTGTGATGAATAGTAACACTAAACATGGATAAATAAATCATTCTATGTGCTATTTTTTTTCGTAAACAGTGATATTTAGGCATAAAATAATTCTAAAGAAATCCGCTCCCTATAGATTCTTAATCTCATTGGCTGTCCCGAAATAAAATCTGTCAAGGTCAGTAAACATGGCGGATAAATTTAAAATGTGATGTTGTCAAACACGAAAAATAGGGATATATGGATTGTTCTGTATATTTTTGGATCGATTTATGTCTCGGATTACTACATTTTAGAAGTTCAGGTAAGGTATATAAATAAAATAGCTGTTTACAGACAATTTGAGCCGAAATCCGTGCGGGAGTGATTCGCTCCCGCATTGCACCATTACATAGATCCTAAGGAGTTGTACCCCCCCCCCCCAAAGAAAAAGGGGGGAAGAGGGTTACATTATTGCATCTAGTATTTGACTGTCTAAATTGTAAAGGTATTTGAGGATAATATTGTAGCTTGAGATATTTTACGGTCATATTGTTCAAGTATTTGATGGTACATACCGTATACAGGAAAATTTTCGCCCCGTTTAATTTTCACCCTTTTTGCCCTAAGCAAATTTAAAACGGGGCGAATTCAAAGAACACAGTATAAACTCTTAAACAGATTTAGGACTGGGCGAATTTAAAACAGGGCAAATTTGTTAGCAAGTGTAAAAGGGCCAAAATAACATAGAGCGAAAATAACCCTGTATACAGTATTGTAGAGGTATTTAGGTCGTATCATTCAGGTATTTGATGGTACACATTGTACAGGTAATAGATGGTTCATATTGTACAGGTATTTGACAGTACATATTGCACAGGTATTTGATGGTACATATTGTATAGGTATTTGACGGTCATATTGTACAGGTATTTGATGGTACATATTGTACAGGTATTTGACGGTCATATTGTACAAGTATTTGATGGTACATGTTGTACAGGTATTTGATGGTACACATTGTACAAGTATTTACAGTCATATTGTACAGGTATTTTATGGTAAATATTGTAGATATTTTACGGTCATATTGAACAGTATTTGACGGTACATATTTTACAGGTATCTGAAGGTACATCATGTACAGGTATTGTACAGTACATATTCTTCAGGTATGACACGGTACACAATATACTGGTGTGTTCGTTTGTACATATAAGAAATGTATGGAGATAAAGAACAATTGACAATATTGCAGGAGTCACGGCAACATTTGACCCTTAAAGAATATTGACCGAAGGTTATTTTTCTACGAAATTTCACCCCATGGGCAATATCATATGTACGCAGTACAGTTTAAAAGGTTACAAATGGAAATATCTGCTAATTTTTTAGATAAAAAAACACGTCACTTTTCACATGATATCAGAGTCACATGATTTTAGCAAATATGTAAGACTTCAAAGTGCGATGGTTACGCCTAAATCCCCTGGTCTGCGCCAAACCCCGATGGCGCGCTGTCTTTACGGACGCCAAAGTGCGCTGGTCACGCCAAAGTCAGCTGGCTTGTTTCCTATGAGACACGTTGCGCTAAGTGCGATGATCTGATACGCCAAAGTCCGCTGGTATAAAGGAACAATCAACGTTTATGACGTCACAATTGTCCGACGTCAAGACGTTGTCCTACATTCAATATCCGTTGATTAAGTTTTCGCATACAATTTCATCGACTTTGCTTATTGTTTTTGCCCACCGGAGCTATGAGGGTTAGTCCTTGTACACCATTCGATTCATAAGCGTTAGTTCTTGAACACCAATGTGTTTCTACGAACTCACCCAAGAGATGTTATGCTTAGACCTCGCACTCCTTTGGACTGATTTGGGTTAGTCCTGTGCCCATCCAAGATATCTAGCTTATAGAAGTCACACATTTTTCTACTGATAAGTGTTAGTCTCGCGCCTTTATCCAAAAGATTAGGGTTAGTCTTTGCATTTAATATTTATTCTAAACAATCGGGCTTTTGCATGTTGCGGCATCTAATTTTTGCGTGGTAGTACTATTACATCGTAAAAGTTAATTGTTTTCTGCACCATGGGACCTTGGCGTGTGAAACCATCGGGGTTTGGCGCAGACCATCGGACTTTGGCGTGACCATCGGACTTTTGTGTCCCATCGCACTTTGGAGTCCTACAAATATACTTGCAATTGAGAGGTCATCAAACGTCTCATGAAGATAAAGGGATGATTTAATTTGTAAAAAGAAATAATAACAGTACAATCAATTTGTCTTTGCTGTTCCATTTCATGGACACAAAAATTGATCAGCTCAAATTGTGTACCAATATCTGTTTTGCGATTGGTGGCGTTAACAAAACTATAACAAAGCTAAAACAAAATCACTACTGTTGTATTAAAACAAGATACATTCAAAGTATTTAATGTACTAAAAATTCACACTAGTAGCTTCGTTTTTCCCTTTTTAATTATTAGTGATAATTTTTTTTTATTTCTTTTAACAAATAAAGCCCACACGCTTATTTTTCTTCGTTTTAAAAAATATCTATTCTTTGCGTTATAACTCGAAACTTTCAATATGCGTAACTTTCGCGTATATCGCAAAATTGTTTGCATTATAACGCGTTAGTTTCAAGTTATATCACAAATATATTATACAATTATTGCTGTGTTTTGAGGTCAATACAATGATTTAGCCATCTGAGGAGTACATTATTCACCGAGCCCGGAGTGCGATGTGAATATTGTACTTATCATTTTATTGACCGAAAAAACAGCAATAATTGTTTTATTATATGATTCACTAATAAAATGATAAAGCCCATTACTTGTGTGCATTTAATTAAATCCTATTCAAATACAATTAGGAGAAAAGCAGAATTAAAATGTTAATCAACCTTACCAGTCGTATCAATTTGAAGTTGTTTTTTTTTTATCAATTTTAGTTGCTATGAAAAAATTTAATGTCCGTCTTTTTATAGGATAGATTTTCAAAGGAAGGAGTATTATGTGACAGGGAAAATGACTGCCTAAAAGTAAAAATTGTTGTTCAGTAAAAAGTGTTGGGGGAGTGTCCCTGCATCCCCTCTTACCACCCTCACCGAAAATATATATTCGCTTATGTTTCCTTCACATGAAAAGTAGTCAACGTTGTTTAAATAGCTTTCCAAAACAATTTGTTTCAATTAGGAATATCCCGATCTATTTTTAGATCAATGTGGAGGAAATAAATCCTTGTATTGACCTGGAACGTCACGTGCAGGTCAATACAACGTAGTATTTTTCTAACATAGTTGAATTTCAGCCAGTCAAAGAGATGGAAATTATTCAATCATATACTAAAATAATGTATTTAGTACTTTTACCCAGAAACCTTTGATCCTGCTCGAAAGATGAGAAATATTAACGCAGACTTGACTTCTATGAATTTATAAATGATATTTTCTCAGGAGATGAAAAGAAGAAAAGAATAGGATAGATTTGTTTCAGAATTTTGCATTTTATTTTAAAACTTTACTAATGAAGTATAGAAATTTTCATTTAAAAATGCTAAGATTTACTCAGAATTTCTGTATAATTTCATAACTTATATGTTCCTATAGTGTCTCTTTCGAAATAATTGTTACGCCCGCACATGCTACCGTAGTTGGAACTCAATAATACAATAATGTAATTTATATGATGTTATATTCTTATGTTTATTGCGGCAAGTACATGGTGCGAGAAAGCTCTCACATATTGCGAAAATAACTCTAGGTATACTGTACAGTGGTGTATTCACATGCTCATGAAGAATCGCCGTCTTACTAGACGAGGTGTACTTCCTTATTTGACCCACTTGGATTCACAGCATCTTTCGTCCTGGTTGGGAAGCAGATAATGTGTAAAAACCAAACAGATTGGGATAAACCTCTTCCAGAAAGCTCGAGACCTAGATGGAGATCTCCAGGAATGTGGTTGCTTTGAAATCGAGATATGTTTGAAACCTGAGAACATTGGAGATGTTGTTGTAGCGGAGCTACATCATTTCTCAGTTGCGAGTGCTATCGGGTGTGGTCAGTGTTCACACTGACACTTTCATGAACACAGCAGACACCAAGGACGAAGTATCACCAGGAATGAGATTAGATCAAATACATGTAGATATTGGATTATTGGCTGCGCTTCTGCTGTATACAGTGTCATTTCGCGATGTGTGAAATGTCGTAAACGTCGCAATTAAACACAGGATCAGAAAATGAGCGACCTACCTGCAGACTTGCAGCAGAGGCACTCTTTACATACAGGGGTGTAGAATTTTTTGGACTATTTCACATCAGGGAAAAGAGAATTAAAGAGATATGGAGTTCTCTTTATATGTACGTCTATGAGAGCCATGCATTTAGAGACTGTAAATTTTCTTGATACTAGTTCATTTATCAACGCTTTTCGCAGATTTCTATCTTTGGAAGAATTAGACAATAGTCGTTTGAAGCGGCTTCTCATAGCTGACGGATTTGATTACATCCATTTCAAAATGAACGTTCCATCAGCAAGTCATATGGGCGGAATTTTGGAAAATCAGGTCAGGACTGTGCGCAATGTGCTATCCCTCTTACAGGACTTTGGTGCGC